GCTGCCTGTCGGCCGTTCACTCGTTTATCCAACACCAGCATTGATCGTTCGTCCATCTGTTTGTTTGTCCATCTATCAGTGACTTTTATCGTCCAGTTAGCGTCACATAAAAGCTGGATGATGATTTTAGCTCTGTATGAGGGGCGGAGCAGGCTAGGAGTGCTGGACAGAGAGTTGTCAATCAAGAGCATTAGCCATGCCCACTCAGCTCTCAGATAAGGCTGATCAGCCGTGTTTATCATATTTATATCTTATGTTTTTCATTCAAGCTTTGCTGATTGTTTAATATAACAGTCAAGTTTAGCATCATATAAACATTTTTAATACTTTACTCTGTTACCTTTAGGCCACTATAGTCCTGATGTTTCAGTATAGGATGATTCGACCTGGAAGTCTGGGACGTGAAATCACTAATCACGGTGAATTGCACTGATTGATTGATTGGTTGATTGATTCTTTTTATTGCCACATGATGTCAATGTCAGTTGTAATTGTATCCGATGCATCAAAATGTAATTCAACTCTGTTGTAGCAGAATACATATTAACATACAATACAGAAAACAATTTACCCAGCAAAATACAGAATACAACATTTAGTGAATTCAAAATCTGCTGACAAACACAAGTGTGTGTAATCCACACGTGACTTTAAAATGTTCAGAAAGGGCCCTGAAGGTGGGGTGTGAAAATTTAATCACAAATAACAGAGGATGGCGATGGAGATTGTTAGGAGTTTAGATCAGAAGAAGGATGAACTGTAGTTGTTTTTTGCTCCATCAAGAGTTAAAGTGCAAAACAATATTGTGGCATGTTGGTTTTATTCAGTGCTGTAAACTGCTGGATAAGGCTGCTACAGCCAACCGGGCTAACTGGTAAGGCTGCTACAGCTAACCAGGCTAACTGCTAAGGCTGCTACAGCTAATCAGGCTAACTGGTAAGGCTGCTACAGCTAACCAGGCTAACTGCTAAGGCTGCTACAGCTAACCAGGCTAACTGCTAAGGCTGCTACAGCCAACCAGGCTAACTGCTAAGGCTGCTATAGCCAACCGGGCTAACTGCTAAGGCTGCTACAGCTAACCAGGCTAACTGCTAAGGCTGCTACAACTAACCGGGCTAACTGGTAAGGCTGCTACAGCCAACCAGGCTAACTGCTAAGGCTGCTACAGCTAACCAGGCTAACTGCTAAGGCTGCTACAGCTAACCAGGCTCACTGCTAAGGCTGCTACAGCCAACCAGGCTAACTACTAAGGCTGCTACAGCTAACCAGGCTCACTGCTAAGGCTGCTACAGCCAACCAGGCTAACTACTAAGGCTGCTACAGCCAACCAGGCTAACTGCTAAGGCTGCTACAGCTAACCAGGCTAACTGCTAAGGCTGCTACAGCTAACCGGGCTAACTGGTAAGGCTGCTACAACTAACCGGGCTAACTGGTAAGGCTGCTACAGCCAACCGGGCTAACTGCTAAGGCTGCTACAGCTAACCAGGCTAACTGGCAAGGCTGCTACAGCTAACCGGGCTAACTGCTAAGGCTGCTACAGCTAACCAGGCTAACTGGTTACTACCTCAGTGACTGCTATGCTCATATATGCTAAGCTATCTGCTAATATGTCATAGTATATCACATCCTGCTTTGCACAGCTCCACATACTCTCAGTACCGTGTCCTGCCTGTGTGCTGTTTTTGTATTTATTGTAAGTCTTTGTATTTGTTGTACTGTGTTGTCTGCACTGTGTATATTGTATAGTTTTGCCCTTGTGTTCCTGTGTTGGTCCTGGCGGAGTGTTGTTTCGTTTCACTGTGTACTTGTATTTAGTTGAAATGGCAATAAAGCCTCTTGAACTTAAACTTAAACCTAGCGAATGTCTTCTAGCTTATCCTAAAGCTTCAGCCTCTGAGCTCGTGAGGAGTGTGTCACCAGATCACTGCAGATTTAACCAGTATAGATTTAAAGCAGTATGGTGTTGATCTACAGTCCTGACCGTTTCAGTAGAACAGAAGCTTTAGCTTAGCTGCTAACAGAACAGGAGTAACACCAACCAGGGTGGTGGGTTAGCATGTCCAGATGTATTAATTCCATGAAATTCACATGTATTCATTAATTAATTAAGGTATTAATTCCATTAAGCCCACATTATTAATGAGAAAGAGTTACAGTGCGAAACAAAGCTTCTCTATTGTGGCTTTTGGCTTTTATTTAGTGCTAAACTGCTGGTTAAGGCTGCCATGGCTAATTAGGCTAACTAGCGACTGCTTTATTGCTAATGCTAAAGCTGCGGCCTTCTTTACTAGAAGCAACAGCACCAGCAAAACCAGCATATGTTGTGTTTTGGATGCTGGTATGCTGCTCATGACCATGCTGGGTGGCCAGCTAAACCAGCACTAGACCGGCATGGGTTGTAAAGGGGCGTGTCATTGTGTCATTGGGTCACTATCGACTTAACCTGCGTAGATTAAAGACCCAGGGAACCTAAATCTGTGTTTTCTTTCTGATGAGGTTAATCCTGTTCTGGCAGGTGAACAGTAAACATGAACTAAGTAAACACTGTGAATAATGTTCTACTGACCAGTGAATGACCGATATATTTCACCATGTTTCTCATATTTTCCTCTGGAGAGTTCTAATCGTGGCTAATGCTTCCATAAGCATCCCTCTGACCAATCACAAGGCTGCGTCTCTAGCCCCGCCCACACAGAACAGTTTCAGAGTCAGAGAAGCTTAGCGAGCTAAAGCTAACCCAGCATAACCAAAAGCTAGCAAGCTTGACCACCTGTCTGTTGCTGCCTGTCGGCCGTTCACTTGTCTATCCAACACCAGCATTGATCGTTCGTCCATCTGTTTGTTTGTCCATCCATCAGTGACTTTTATCGTCCAGTTAGCATCACATAAAAGCTGGATGATGATTTTAGCTCTGTATGAGGGGCGGAGCAGGCTAGGAGTGCTGGACAGAGAGCTGTCAATCAAGCTGCTTATTAGCCACGCCCACACAGCTCTCAGATTTATCATATTTATATTTTATGTTTTTCATTCAAGCTTTGCTGGTTGTTTAATATAACAGTCAAGTTTAGCATCATATAAACATTTTTAATACTTTACTCTGTTACCTAGAACTTTAGGCCACTATAGTCCTGATGTTTCAGTATAGGATGGTTCTCCAAGGCTTCTTTAGTAAACAAAATGGTTCTATATAGGACCATTCACACTCAAAGAACTCTTCGCTTCGTGAAATAGTTCTTCAAATTGATGCAGAATGTGCTGTACAATGTGCTTTTTGAAAAGGGTTCTGTATAGCACCAAAAAGGGTTCTTCTATTGTTACAATGTCAAGCTTGTAACAATAGAAGAACCCTTTTTGGTGCTATACAGAACCCTTTTCAAAAAAGGTTATAGAACCATACACAAGACATTCTCCATTAGTCTGAAGAGCTATTTCACGATGCAAAGAACCCTTTAATCATGCAAAGGGTTCTTTGAGTGTTCATGGTTCTATATGGAGTCATTTTCTTTACTAAAGAACCCTTGAAGAACCCTTTCTTTATGAGTGTACAGAGGCTTTAGCTGCTACCAGACTCCTTTTCACAGTTCTTTTTTAACTAAACCCGACTCCACTTGAATCTCCGTTCACAGCCGAGAGGAAAGTGGAGAGCAGAGGTCACCCAGACTCATTGTTGTGACCAGTAGGTCAGTGAAGGCCTGCAACCTTCTGACCCTCTGTTTTACAGCCGTTAGTGTGTTTGACACTTGAAGAAATTGAACACTGATCGTTCGCATTGTGGCCTCATTGTCTCAGACTGTCTGGTACACGTCTGGACGCCGTTCTCTTTGTCTTCCAGCATAAAAGACGTCTCTTTCTTTCTGCTCATTACATCACGCCAGGACACAGCGAGGGGTCAGGGGTCAAGCTGGGCTACACGCAGAAGCTGTAGGACAGGTCAGGGGTCACTGAAGAGGTTAAGTGAGGGCTATTGAGCAGAACAGCCGTTAACAGGCTACAGCGTTCACAGCCCGTCTGAAGACTATGAGCTGAGATACTCTGGCCACACTTTACTACACTGAGGACACATATTAATGTACTAAGGCCATACTAACATATTGAGGCCACATATTTTATATATTGAGGCCACAAATGAATATATTGAGGGCACAAATTAATATATTAAGGACATAAATTACTATACTGAGGCCACAAATTAACATATTGAGGCCCCAATGATGGGGAGCGTTTACTTTTGAAAATGGACGATAGATGTGAAAATGCTGAGAAAGGTCACTACAGTTTCTCTTTTTTCTTCTTTCCACTCTCTCTCACTCTCTTTTCCTCTCTTTTTTTTCCTCTCTTTACCTTTCTCTCTCTCTCTCTCTCTCTCTCTCTCTCTCGTTACACTATTTTCTTTTTTCCTCTCTTCCTCTGTTTTCTTTCTTCCTCTTTTCTTTCTTCCGTATCACTTTCTCTTTTCTTTCTTCCGTCTTGCTCTTTTATCTAGTCCTTCTCTTTCTTCCCCTTTCTCTTTCGCTTTTTTCTCTTTCTTTCCTTTCTTTCTTCCTCTCTCTCTCTATCTTTCTTCCCCTCTGTCTTTTCTTGCCTCCCCTCACTTCCTCTGTTTTGTTTTTTCTTTCTTTTCTTTTTTCACTCTCTCTTTCCCCCTTTCCCTCTTTTCTTTCTTCCCTGTCATTCGCTCATATTTCTCTCTTTTCTCTCTCTTCCTTTCTCCCTTCCTTTCTTGCTCCCTTTTTTCCATTTGCTTTCTTGCTCCTTACTGTTTTTCGTTTCTCTTTCTTCTTTTTCTTCTCCTTCTCTTTCTCTCTCTTTTCTTTCTTTCTTTCTTTCTTCCGCTCTCTCTCTCCCTTTCCTGTCTTTCTTTCCTTTCTCCTTCTCTTTCACTCTGATAATTATGCTGTACAGTAAAGTGCTGTAATATGTAAATATACATATGAGGCTTTACTGTTTCTCTGTTATTCATCAATACATATTTTAATAACTTCCTCTCTCTCTCTCTCCAGTCGCCCTCAAGAACCACACCAACAGCAGTAACCATGACAACAGTAAAGCCACGGGATTGGTGGACGGATGGCTGCCAGAGGGGGAGCTGCTTCTGCAGGTATGTTGGATGGGCTGGGGGTGGTTAGAAGAGTTGCTCCGCCCCTTTATGACTTTCACTTACACGTCTTCCCCACCATGTTCTCATATCAGTGCGTTTGGCGTGTCACTCCAAACCATCGTGCCAGGACAGAGCGAGGGGTCAGAGGTCATGCTGGGCTAGACGCAGAAGCTGTAGGACAGGTCAGGGGTCACTGAAGAGGTTAAAAGAGGAGTATTGAGCAGAACAGCCGTTAACAGACTACAGCATTCACAGCCCGTCTGAAGACCATGAGCTGAACTTCACAGTGAAAACTGGCCACACTTTACTACACTGAGGACACATATTAATATACTAAGGCCACAAATTAACATATTGAGGCCACAAATTGATATATTGAGGCCACAAATAACATATTGAGGCCACAAATTCATATTTTGAGGTCGCAAATTAATATATTCAGGCCACAATTTACTATATTGAGGCCACAAATAATATATTGAGGCCACAAATTCATATTTTGAGGCCACAAATTCATATTTTGAAGCCACACTTTACTATATTGAGGCCACAAATTAATATATTGAGGCCACAAATAATATATTGAGGCCACAAATTAATATTTTGAGGCCACAAATTAATATTTTGAAGCCACACTTTACTATATTGAGGCCACAAATTAATATTTTAGAGTTTAGAATGTAGAATTTAGAATTTATTAATATTTAGAATATTTAGAATTAATATGATAAGGCCACAGATTACTATATCGAGGTGCCAGTTTACTATAAAAAGGACACAAATTAATACATTGAGGCCACAAATTATTATACTGAGGCCACAAGTTATTAGAAACTTACCTTGTGGTCTCAGTATAGTAATTCGTGGCCACACCTTATTTCAAATGATTACCATATCTCTTACCTTCCAATGGAATCTAAACAAAAAGCTAATAAAAACACCAAAATAAAGATTTAGGCGCGCAGTTAGCACCACGCTAATTGGTATGAGCTCCTATTACTGGTTAGCTTCATTAGCCTCTTAGCTCCAGTCCTAAAACTAAAGAACCAGTTGGCCAAAAGAGAGTGCAGGTGAATACCCTCTTCTGAGCCCCGCCTCCTGTGAAAAAGTGCCAAAAATCAGACGCAAAAGAAAAATTTCAGAAGCAAAAAATATCAGCAAATGGAAAAAAAGAAAGCAGAACAGGCTAAATGAGTCATTTATATCAGAATGAGTGAAAATGAGTAGAGTAAGTTTGTGAAATAAATTTGATTTAAGTCTCGTTATTTGTATTTGCAGCATATTTTAAATATTTTGATAATCAACATTTTGCTGGTGGGTTTATTAATTTTATTTGAAATTTTGGGCACAAATTAAATTCCATAAGTTGGACTCCATAAGTAATTTCTGAGTTAAGCAAAAGAAAGTTGCACTCAGACAGCTTGTAATTAGATGAGTAGTGAACAGGAAAATGTAGAGAAATTTGAGAATTTTAACTCCCAACATGCTGATATATATGACTGAATTAGTGGCCAATGGTAGCTAAATAATTTTTAAAATGTAGCACATATTTAGGCCAGAGACATTTGTTAATATCTGTTACTGTTGGCTTTATTGAGTACATTTTTACAACGATGGGGAAAAAGTTACCAAAATACCAAAATACATCAAGCTAGTACACTAGCTAAGAACACTGGGCCTCGTTCACCAGTATTGTTCTATGTTTGTTCTCAAGTGTGTTCTTGAGAAAGATCCTAAGAAACAGTTTACGTCAGATTCATGACGTGTTCTTAAAGCGCAGAACTGTTCTCACCTTTGTGCTCTTGACTGTGTGTAGATTCTGTTCTTACCTGAGAACAAATCCCACATAAGAGAACACTGGTGAGTCAGAATCTTTGTGAAAACTGTGTTTAAGAAGAAATTTATTCTTAAGAACGGTCGGTGAATGAGGCCCAATATTCTTTCACACGTTGCATGCAATTACACATTTCCACCAGAGAGGTCTCCAAATCCCCAGATCTTACAGAGTGTAGCTTTAATGAACTGTTTTCATTGTTAATGAGCTCAGTTAATTATCAGCAGTGTCGACTCCACAAGACGACCAAAAGACTTCGTAGTTACTACTTTGGGAGTGAGAAATAGAACAAGTCTCTGACGAGTTTCTGCTTTCCAGTCTCGGTTTTTCCCAGTGGTTCTTCCTCAGGTTCTCTTTTTGAGTCTTCTCAATGGTTCTACCTTGTGCTATTAGGAAGTTTTTTTTCAGCGTTGTTTCTTCTCAGCCAGGTGAATGGAAAGAGAGAGAGAGAGAGAGAGAGAGAGAGAGAGAGGTAGATGGAGAGAGAGTACAAAGAGAGAAAAGCTATTTGCAGGTTGGCCTGTGCTCCAGTTTCAGACGCTGCGTGGTGAATAATGCAGACAGAGGGATGATGTATAATTCAGAGCAGATCGAGTGAAGATTCAGAGAGAGATTCTCCATATTTACCTTCGGTTCCAAAGAGAAGATAAATTTGGACGTCTTACTTTACTTCACCACTTCTCTCACCGATTCTCTCTCTCTCTCCCCCTTTCTCTTTCTCTATCTCTCTCGCTCTGTCTCTGTACTCTGTCTCTCTATCTCTACCTCTCTCTCTCTCTCTCTCTCTCTCTGTATCTCTCTCTCTATCTCTCTCTCTCTCTCGCTCGCTCTGTACTCTCTCTATCTATCTCTACCTCTCGCTCTCTCACTTTCCTTCTCTTTTCTTCCCTTTTCACTCTTTCTGTCTCTCTCTTCCTCTTTCCCTCTCCCTCTTCCCCTCGCTCTCTTTCTCTCTCTCTTTGTCTCTCTCTCTCCCTTTCTTTCTCTCTCACTATCTCGCTCTCTCTCTCTCCCTCTCTTGCTCTTTCTCTGTACTCTCTCTCTCTCTCTCTTTTTCCCTCTTTCATTCTCTGTCTCTCTCTCTCTGTCTCTCTCTCTCTCTCCCTCTCTCTCTGTACTCTCTCTCTCTCTCTTTCCCTCTCTTTCATTCTGTCTCTCTCTATCTCTCTGTCTCTCTCTCTACCCTTTCTCTCTGTACTCTCTCTCTCTGTGTCTCTCTCTCTCTCTTGAAATAACAAAACTTGAGTGATTTCAAGACTCAGAAATGTAGTAATATAGTACGTAGTATAAGAATACAGCACAAACACTCTTAAAAACGACGGTTCTTCAAGGGTTCTTTAATAAAAACAATAGGCCTGTATAGAACCATGAACACTTAAAGAACCCTTTGCATGCTTAAATGGTTCTTTGCATGGTGAAAGCATTCTTCAAACTGATGGAGAATGTGTTGTGTATGGTTCTATACAGAACCTTTTGGGAATGATTCTGTATCGCACCAAAAATGGTCCTGCTACTGTTATGACGTCAGGCTTGTAACAATAGAAGAACTCTTCTTTTTTTATTAAAGAACCCATGAAGAACCATCTTTTTAAGAGTGCAGTTTATAGAGTAAGATTATAGTGCAGAGTGTAAAAATATAGTGCATCATTTATGAACACAGTGCACAGTATATAGTGTATGAATTTAGTCAGCAATGCTGAAGTAGAACACAGTAAGATCACTGAGACTCTCTCCCTTCCTCTCTCTCTCTCTCTCTCTCTCTGGCTGATGCTGATGTTTAGTGACTGCCGCTCGACCCTGCGGGGGTTGTGTAGTGCTCACTGCAGACACATGAACCTAAATATTTATATTGAGCATCAGTGCTCAGACACTGCGCTCATTATGGTGTTTGTGTGTGTGTGTTGTTTGTTGAGGCTGAAGGTCGTGGTTCCTCATGCTTACGGGTGATATAACCGTATTACAGTTAGAGAGGAGCGCGTATACGTACGTACAGTACTGTCCAACAGACAGAGACCACCTTTCCTTTATTTACTTCACAGGTAAAACAGCAGAAAGTGCAGCTTTTTTCAGCATCAGAAAAAAAGCAGAAAGTATTTATTTACTATATGTCACCGTTGTTGGAAGAAAACCTTGTATCTCCAAAATGGTAACTTTACAGGAGAAGGAAAAAAAAAACTACTTTACTTTTAATTTAAGTCAATGGAACCAGAAAGTCCAAGTCAGTTTGGGCTGTTTCTGTTGGTCCATTCATCATGAAATTTATGTAAAGTGTAACAGGTATTTTCATATTAAGTCAAAAACTCAAAAACATCAAAAATGGACATACAAGGTTTTCTTCCGACAACAGCGATATACATATATACGCTATATAGAGTATTGGGACAGTATATATAGAGTATTGGGACACCTCCACATCATACCTTCAGGAGCTTTTATGAATCCCATTCTAAATCCATTGGCATTAATATGGAGTTGGTCCCCCTTTGCAGCTCTAACAGCTTCCACTCTTCTGGGAAGCTTCTACAAGATGTTGGAGAGTCTGTGGGAATTTGTGTCCATTCATCCAGAAAAGTATTTGTGAGGTCAGACACTGATGTTGGACGAGAGGGTCTGGCTCACAATCTCCGTTCTAGTTCATCCCAAAGGTGTTGGATGGGGTTGAGGTCAGGGCTCTGTAAGGGTCAGTCAAGTTCTTCCACACCGAACTCACCCAGTCAGGCCTTTATGGAGCTGCTTTGGGCACTGGGGCTCAGTCATGCTGGAACAGGAAAGGTTCTTCCCCAAACTGTTCCCACAAAGTTGAAAGAGTACAATTGTCCAAAATGTCTTGGTGCTGAAGCTTTAAGATTCCCCTTCACTGGAACTGAGGGTTCTAGACCAACCCCTGAAAAACAGCCCCATATCATCATCCCTCCTCCACCAAACTCTACAGCTGGCACAGTGCAGTCAGGCAGGTAATGTTCTCCTGGCATTCGCCAAATCCAGACTCGTCCATCAGACTGACAGATAGAGAAGCTGATTCGTCACTCCAGAGAACACGTTTTCCACTGCTCCAGAATCCAGTGGAGACGCTTTACTCCACTCCAGCCAACACTTGGCATTGTGCATTTTGATCTTAGGCTTGTGTGCAGCTGCTCGACCATGGAAACGCATTTTGGGAAGCTCCTAATGTGCAGTTCTTCTGCTGATGTTGCTTCCAGAGGTAGTTTGGGACTCGTTAGTGGGAGATTCAACAGATGATAGACACTGTGAGCTTCAGCACTCGGTGGTCCCACTCTCGGTGGTAGCACTTACAGTTGTCTAGGGCAGATCTAGCAGGACAGAAATATCACACGCTGACTCAAGGTGGCATCCTATGACAGCGCCATGTTTAACTTTGACATTCTCCTTCTTTATGCAAGTGAATGATCTTCTATCTGATCTTCTCAAAAAATGTCTCATGAAAAATGAATAATGTGTCCTTTATGTCTTTTTTGACTGATTATTAAATAAATAAAGGGTGGTCTCTGATTTTTGCACACGACTGTAACTCTGTATGTAAAACTGATCCTGTGTATAAAATGTTTGGACACATTCTGTGGTCACACATCCAGGCTGCAAAGCACTCCAGATGGTGAGGAACCGTAAAACTGTGTGCAGAACCTGAAGGCAACACTCACACCTATACAGACATACACACACATACACACACGCTGGCTGGCTGAAGGAAGTCGGTGCTGACGTGTGATTTCTCACTGCACACACATGCCGTGACATATTTCGTGACTCTGTTCTCTTTGTTTTATCGTTTCCGAGTTGTCATGGACACTCCAGCTGGAGGGGTGTGTGTGTGGAGTGAAGATGCTGACCCGACCGGCTGAAAATCTCTCAGATCTGCGTATAACACCAACTTACTTACAGCTGGGAGCGCTGAGAGCACTTCACTTCCACACTGATGCCTTTTGCTGTCTGAAAAAGGGTCTCAGTTCAGTATATAGTGCAGCGTATACTATACTCTATACCGTCTGTACTTGCACTATATATTACACTGATCAGGCGTAACATTATGAGCACCTCCTTGTTTCTACGTGGATCAGACACAGCAGTGCTGCTGGAGTTTTTAAACACTGTGTCCACTCACTGTCCACTCTATTAGACACTCCTACCTTGTCAGTCCACCTTGTAGATGTAAAGTCAGAGACGATAGCTCATCTGCTGCTGCACAGTTTGTGTTGGTCATCCTCTAGTCCTTCATCAGTGGTCACAGGACGCTGCCCACAGGACGCTGTTGGCTGGATATTTTTGGTTGGTGGACTATTCTCAGTCCAGCAGTGACACTGAGGTGTTTAAAAACTCCAGCAGCACTGCTGTGTCTGATCCACTCAGACCAGCGCAACACACACTAACACACCACCACCACGTCAGTGTTACTGCAGTGCTGAGAATGATCCACCATCCAAATAGTACCTGCTCTGTGAGGGTCCATGGGGGTCCTGACCACTGAAGAACAGGGTAACAAAGTATCAGAGAAACAGATGGACTACAGTCTGTAACTGTAGAACTACAAAGTGCACCTATATAGTAAGTGGAGCTGATAAAATGGACAATGAGTGTAGAAACAAGGAGGTGGTCATAATGTTATGCCTGATGGGTGTATATTCTTATAATGAGTACTATATTCGTACACTATATGCTATATTCTTATACTTCATACTGCATTTTTACACTATATAGTACATTATACAACAGTTAGTTCCGGCCACACAGGCTGATTGGTTGAGAAGCGTCTCTAACTGTGCTGTTATTTCACCATAACATCACAGGTTTTTCACAAACACTGTATCACTCCGCTGAGACGCCGTTGCTAAGCAATGACTTTGACAGCTGTAGGAGACGCTCAAGACATTTTAACCTTTTTACTTTGCCACAAACAGAAAATGGACACTTTTAAGATCACATTTGACCGACAGCCGATTTGGTCAGACTCTGAAGATGAGACGACACTAAATTCCCAAACTGTCAGTTGTTCTGTGTGGAGCTGGAGAACGAACTGCCGGCTGTGCAGCGAGTGGGCGGAGCTCGTTACTCTGACGTAACAACAAGCTGCTCGTTAAGGAACTATAATTCGGTGAAGGAACTGCGAACATTAAAACATATTAAACGCCGCGTTCACGGCCCAGTTTATTAATTTATTACTGTATTTATTTAACTGCTGTATTAAAGCAATAGAACACTCAAGGAGTGTGTTATCGCCAATAACATCACGGCTGTGATGATCTACGGCGACCAAATCACAGCCGTGATGTTATTTCACGATAACACACTCCCTCTCATGTTCTGTTGCTTAAATATATACAAGAATAATAAATAAAAAATATTTTTATGGTTCTATATAGAATGGTTCTATAACACTCAAAGAGCCATTTGCATGTTTAAATGTTTTTTTGCATGGTGAAATGGTTCTTCGTATTGATGGAGAACGTGTTGTATATGGTTATATGTTTCCTGTTTCAAAAAGGTTCTATATCGCACCAAAAGGCTTCTTTTCTTTTAAACGTAACAATAGAAGAACCATTTTTGGTGCTATGTAGAACCATATACAACACATTCTCCATCAATCTTAAGAACCATTTCACTATGCAAAGAACCATTTAAGCATGCAAATGGTTCTTTGAGTGTTTATGGTTCTATGTACGAAATAACTCTTGAAGAACCGTCTGTTACTTATACTGTACATTATATTTTTACACTATACATTTTATTTTTGCACTTTACACTATATTCTCTCATGATACACTATTTTTGTACACTATAAACGATATACTAAATGACACTAAACTAAATCAGTGAACTGCGCCTAAGAAAGCTTTTACGTTTGCTAGCAGTAGTTAGTCAGCTATAGTGTTAGCTAACGTTATAACTTATCAAAATTAGCCGAAACTTCACGTATAAATCTTGCACTACAGTGGCTACCACACTAATGAAGCACACAGGCAATCTGTTTACATGCCAAAAAATACCAGAGACGGTGTAAATGAGGAGAGGAGTCACTGGTTAAAATAAGAACAGGAAAGCTCATAATGCTCAACATGGCGTCTGTTTGCGGAGAAAGCCCCGCCCTTCAGGAAAAAGAGCCCATCAGCTTGCTGGTTAAGCCACAAGTGGAGAAGCGTTGATAATATCGTGGTGCTCACAGGAAAAGTCACTGCCGTCGTGGAGATCTGCGCAAGCGCAGTAGCCAGAACAACAGTAGGCGAAAAACCAGCCATTGTGTGCGTTGTTGAGCCAAATGCTACAAAATATTCATGAGGTTTTCATCAGATTTTACCACTGATTTCAAATATGTATTTTAAACAGTTATTCAGTAAACTTCAGTTTCGAGTGTTTTGGTCTCACCCCATTCAGACAGAGAGGAGTCTGGTCTTGTATGAGTGGAAATAACTGTCCAGCGGCGTTGCAAACATGTTGTTGTTATGTGTTATGTATGCTTGTTTGTTTTCGTTTACAGGCTCTCAGTGGGTTTGTGCTGGTGGTCACATCCGAAGGGATCATATTCTACGCTTCACACACGATTCAGGATTACCTTGGATTCCATCAGGTGAGCTTTAACACACAGTAACACTATATAAAATAGTATATACATTATCACTGTAGCATTATATACAGTATTATATCCAGTATTAACATAGTATTTATATATAGTGTTACTATAGCATTAGATAGAACATTATACACTGTATATCCAGTATTATATACAGTATTAAAGCAGTAAATAATATTACATGTATTATTATGGTAGAATTAATTTTATGATAAGTTTATACACACAAACATGTAAATGGTGCCCATAGCACTGTTTAACTGCATGTCTGAATCTCATGCACTGTAAAATGGATTGATAGATAGATGGGCAAGGGATGGACGTAATTCCATTGGGGTCACCTGCAGGTTAATTGTTACATATTGGTCAGTCTTATCTCTGTTATTAATACACACACACACACACACACATATGCACACACACACACTTAGCAGGTTGCTGTTCTGCCCATCCTGATTAACAGTGATTAATCCAGCTAATAGTATTTACTGTCTGTATTACCAACACACATGTTTGCATACAGCGATTAGAGTTGATCACCTGACTCACACACACTGATACACACCTACGCACACATACACAGATTCATTCTAACGGTGAAGTCACAGGGGGCATTTGCGGCCATTTGCAATGCTACTGATACAGTAATACTGTATATAATACTACTACAGTAATAATACTGCATATAAACTGTATGTAATACTGTAAATCAGTGTGGGAAATACCCCCCCGTATTCAGGGGTCCCACATTGGCTGGCTACTTCATCGGTGGCTGGCTGCTAACTCACTCACCATAGCGGCACTGTGACCCTCCAGAATTTTGATTTTGAGACATTCAGGGGGTCCACGTGGTTACTTAGGGGGTCCCAGACCCCCAGGACCTCCTGTATTTCGAACCTTGCTGTAAATGGTACTACGGTAATACTACTGCAGTATCACTATATCATTTTGTATATAACACTACTACAGTAATACTCTGTAATATTGAATATAACAGTACTACACTTATACTGTATACAATACTGTATATAACACTACTACAGTAATACTCTATATAATATTGTATATAGCACAATTACAACAATACCGTATGTAATACTGTACTACTACAATAATGTTGTACATAATACTGTATATAGCACTATGATTACAGTAATACTGTATGTAATACAGTACATAACACTACTACAGCAATATTGTATGTAATATTGTAATGTGTGCAACAATACTACAGTTATATTATATATAATATTGTATGTAACAGTACTACTACAGTAATATTGTATATAATTATAAGTATAAAATGCTACAACAATAATACTATATACAACACTATTACAGTAATACTGTATGTAATACTGTACATAATTACTACTACAATAATCGTGTACATAATACTGTATATAACATTTTTATTACTGTAATGCTGCATATAATATTGTATTTAAAACTTCTATTAACACAGTAATATTGTATATATATTGTATATAACACTTTTATTACTGTAATATTGTATATAATTCTTTACTGCTACAGTAATACTGCATATTGAATGGGTTTATAGAAAAAAACAGTGCTGCTTAATGATGTTTGTGTAGACTTGAGAAGAGAAAGAGCCCAAACTGTATGGCAGAGCAATGCTGTATTACTGTATGTCAATGTCTCTATGTCTCTCTCTCTCTCTCTCTGTCTCTCTCTCTCTATCTCTCTCTCTCTCTCTCTCTCAGACGGATGTAATGCACCAGTCAGTGTTTGAGCTGATTCATACAGAGGATCAGCAGGCTTTTAGACGGAACCTGCATTGGGCCCTCAACCCCCCATCCACTGCAGCCCCGACCCACGAGTCCCCACAAGGTAAGACACATACATTCACATTCACACACACTCATACACTTTGGGCCTGATGGGGACCAAAGCTGTGAGCTGTCCTTCTTAACACTAGCCAGCACACTCATGTTTGATAAACACTACACTGCATCAGGAAGCTGATTGGTTGAGGAATTTTCCCAGTTTCAAAATTTCAAAAAGTCATTCAGACTGGTTTGATGTGAAGAATACGCCACTGTAAAGAATATAAGAATTGTTTGTGACAGGGGTTATAAACAGTTTCAGTTTATATACAGTATATACCAGTCATATCATATTTATCAGTTACATATCATATTTATCAGTTTATATACAGTGTATATCAACTTATATAACATATGTATCAGTATATTTCAGTTAACATAGTTCATATATGTATCAGTTTATATATATATATATATATATATATATATATATGTATGTTTATATACAGTATATATATTGATGTACATACAGTATATATGCATGTATATACTACATATTTCAGTTTATATACAGTATAGGCCTATATCATGTTACATACAATATGTATCAGTTTTTATATAGTATACATCAGTTTACATACAATATATATCAGTCTATATACAGTATGTATCAGTTTGTATAAAATACATATCAGATTATACATTAGTTTATATACAGTATGTTTCAGTTTATGTACAGTATGTATTAGTTTGACAGTGACAGTTTTAGGGAAACTGATATAATAATGAGTAAAGTAACTATAATTGTGCTAATGTGCTCATGTAAGCATGTACAGTCAAATTTTGGTTCAAATATAAAGTGGGCGAGGAAAAGAATATACTTACTTAGCCTTTACTAAAAGTGGGGACTCCAGTTTGTCTAGTGTTCAGGTTCCTTGTACAATGAGACACACAGGAGCACAGATTAACACATACACATGAATAACTGCACACAGTCGTACACATTCACCCTCACACAGAGGCAGAAAGACACACCCAAACGCTCCCAGATAAACACCCCCTCCCATCACTGCCCACCTCAGCCTCTTACCCCCTCACCCCTCTGACTTCAGCACGAACAGCCAGATACAGAGCGCTAGTTTAACAGAAAAAAGCACTCATAGACAGAGAGAGTGAGTTTTGGGAAGAGAGAGTGACCTTTAGCAGGACTACTGCTGAGCGGGAAATGTTACAGCACAACAAATAGTCTCTGCACGAGACGGGTCGAAAATATTTGTCTCATTCCACTCACTTTACTGTAAAATGAAGTCTTATTTATAAACCTTAATAACTGCAAAATAGCTTGAATTGTAATATTTCAATATTTTATGGATGTTTTGAAGCATCAGTTATTGCCCCCTTGTATTTCCACTAACTGTCCACTATATGAGAAACACTGACCTTATACTTCCTCTAACAGGTCACTTTATTAGAGACACCCACCTTTGTGTTTCCACTAACTGGCCACTTTATTAGAAACACCTACCTTGCGCTTCCACTAACTGGCCACTTTATTAGAAACACCTACTTTGTGCTTCCACTAACTGGCCAATTTATTAGAAACGCCAACCTTGTATGTCCACTCACTGGCCACTTTATTAGAAACACCCATCTTGTGCTTCCACTAATTGGCCACTTTATTAGAAACACCCACCTTGACCTTCCACTCACTGGCCACTTTATTAGAAACACCTAACCTACTTTGTACCTACCCTACAAAGATACACTTTGTGTCTCTCTCAGATGGAGACGGCGTCTCCAGCTCAGCTCTGGTGACCTACAACCCCGAGCAGCTCCCGCCTGAAAACTCCTCCTTCCTGGAACGGAGCTTTGTCTGCCGCTTCCGCTGCCTCCTCGACAACTCCTCCGGGTTTCTGGTGAGTAGCTTCAGCTCCTGAAAGCTCATTTGAAGAGGAAGCTGGACTGAAATGTGCCCGGATTCAGTTAATTTGAACTTTCAGAGGGGACAGAATTCCCAACGCTCTGCTTAATTACTCAGGTCTGTTAAATATGTAAATGTAAATAAAAAAACCTTTTATCCTTGTTTCTACACTCACTGTCCACTTTATCAGCTCCACTGACCGTATAGGAGCACTTTGTAGTTCTACAGTTACAGACTGTAGTCCATCTGTTTCTCTGCATACTTTGTTACCCTGTTCTTCAATGGTCAGGACCCCCACAGAACAGGGGGGTCATGCTCAGCACTGCAGTGATACTGATGTGGTGGTGGTGTGTTAGTGTATGTTGTGCTGGAGCTGATAAAGTGGACAGTGAGTGTAGAAACAAGGAGGTGGTTTTAATGAAGTGGCCAGTCGATGTATATTGTTATATATTAGATTTCTGTAGGTGTTAGCTGTGGCCTGTGATTCTCCCTGACCCAGAATAGCCCCACCAGCACGGGGAGTATGTGTCATACATGTCCTGGATTGGACTCGGCTGGATTCTCTCTGACTCAGTGGTTTAGCATGTTCGGTTTGACTAAGCAAGTGGGTCAGACGTCACAGTGGCCCTTTGCTGTGATAATCACTGTATTGCTGGTCATATAATGTCCACGCCACAGCTAGGAGGAGCCTAGTGAGCAGGGGGTCGGCCTCAGTTCTGTTACAGGGTCAGTTTTCATTTCAAATTCAGCCTAGTTAGCTCTGCCGAAGAGTCGAAATCAGTATCTTTTAGGCGAAATTCAGTATTTTAGCAGATTTTTCAAATAATTTACTGAATTTACTGTATACTGGGACTCGACAGGATTACTGTGATGTAGCTGCGTTCTGCTGTACACTTACAGTAATAAGCTTTAATTAAAGTACAGTAATCTCCTGTATTTTTACCTATTTTGCATAGCTTACATAGTAGCCAGTAATGTACTGTATGTATTTCTGACTGTTTTGCGCTGTACATGCGCAGAATTTCTCAAATGTGCATTTTAAATGTAGATACGTATTTTTCACATTTTACCTTTGCTAATAATTTGCATGAATGTGACAAAATTTCAGAAGTTTTTTATTAAAATATTTGTCTTTTTAACTGTCATATCCCATAATCCTGTGCAGATACAGCTCAACATCCAACTCACAGTAATTTACAGTGGTTTTACAGGAAATGATGAATACTGTATTTTACTGTAAAAAAATCCTGTTGTTAATTAACATCCACAATTCCATTAAAAAATCAATAGTACTGTATATATATATATATATATATATATATATATATATATATATTTATACACACAGTACTATTGCGGTATTACTTCAGTATTATATATGGAATATATAGTAGTAGAAAGTATTATATATGGAATTACTGTAATAATTTTTTATTACAGTATTATACAGGGCATTATATATGGTATTATTGTAGTAATGTAATGCCCTATATAATGCTACAATAACACTGTATATTGTGCCCTATATAATGCCATATACAACACTACAATAATACTGTATATTATGCCCTATATAATACTATATAGGTATATAGGGCAGATATTAAATAGGGAATTATATTATTACTGTGGTGTTATACAGGGCATCATATAAAGTATTATGGTAGTATTATATAGGACTATTTAATACAGTATTCCTATTGAATGATGTACCTACAGCATTTCTGTAGAATCATATAGACCAATATATTGTGTTATATAGTGTTATATAGGATGATTTAGGATATTATACACAGTATAATTTCAGTGTTATATAGAGTATTATGTGCAGTACTGCTGTAGTATTAGACAAAGGTTATATAAGTGGTATTATAAATATTATATACAGTATTTAATGCACAGGCCCTCGTGATAGAAAGTGTCATGGATGGATTTCTGTCTCTACCATCAGTTGTTACCTGCAAACCCTTTGCTGTTGTGCAAAATAAAATTCCAGTGTTGACTTTTCATTTGGCAGGCGCTGAATCTACAGGGCCGTCTCAAGTTCCTCCACGGGCAGAACAGACGACTGGACGATGGGGGTCAGGTCCCGCCCCAGCTGGCCCTGTTTGCTGTAGCCACACCCCTCCAGCCTCCCTCCATTCTGGAGATCCGCACCAAAAACATGATCTTCAGAACCAAGCACAAGCTGGACTTCACTCCAATGGCCTGTGACGCCAAGTAACGGCCTTTTCTTTACACTCTAAGAGTTCTTTATCACAGACTCTACTGTCCACTCACTGTCCACCTACCTTACACGTCCACTTTATAGGTGTACACATAGAGACTGTGGTCCATCTGTTGGCGTATGCAATTCATCAGCCTCCCTCTACCCCAAACTGACCACTCAACGGCCTCACTCGGCTAAAGTCTCTAACTGTACACCAACAAGGTGGAGGGGTTTCTGATAAAGTGGACAGTGAGGGTTCTCCAGATGTGATTATTCTAGTGCTAATGTTGTCCTTGATGACGGTGTTGTGTGTTTTGCAGGGGTAAGATCGTTCTGGGCTACACCGAGGCAGAATTAAGAGTCAGAGGAACCGGTTACCAGTTCATCCACGCAGCCGACATGTTGTACTGCGCAGAGAACCACGTTCGCAGTAAGTTATTTTCAGCCTTGTTTGATTACCAGTGGTGAACCATCAGAGCTAGGCCTTCAGATCAGGCCAAGAAAACAACCCACCTCTATGATAATGCTAATTTCGGCCAGCGGCCCAATGAGATTTCTAATAGTATGTTAGCACTACGGTAACGCTGGTGCAACACTGTTTGGCCGTTGTAGATTAACCACATAACTGAAGCTTGTTAGAGTCATTCCATATGTTTAAGCTGAAGCTCGTAACAGATGTTAACATGTAGTTTACCTTGTATGATGCAGGTTAACATTCTTAACAACCACCTGAAACCTTAGACTGGCTTGTATTCAGAATCAGGGATGTATCCAGAACTTCCAGAAGGCCTAGAGTGATGTTTTTCAAAGTTTGGCCCACCCATTGTAAATCAAAACATAATTGGGTGTGTCCCCAGTCACTTCCTTATTACGTTGGTAGTTGATCTGGCATGTAAGGCCTTCAGTTCAGCTCCTAAAGTCCTAACCAATGGGAGAGCTCGCTTACCTAGATACCACAGAGAAGACAATCCTGATTGGACAATTTTCTGTTGGGCTGTTTCAAGATCTTGTTTCACTAAAGCTTAACAATGAAATAAAACCATTACTGCAAAACTTGCAGAGTTTATATAAAACAAGCATGATGATTCTATTAAATATGAATGCATTAAATCATTAGGTCTTCTCTGAAGGCTTAGAAGAACCTGAGGGTTCAATTTGGGTTAGTAGTACACACTCTCAAAATATGGTTCTTCAAGGGTTCTTTAGTAAAGAAAATGGTTCTGTGTAGAACTCAAAGAACGCTTTGCATGATTAAAAGGTTCTTAGCATCGTGAAATGATTATTCAGATTAATGGTGAATGTGCTGTAGATGGTTCTCTATAGAACCTTTTTGAAAAGCCTGTAGCAATAGTAGAACCCTTTGTGGTCGGTACATAAAACCATTTCTATACAGAAGAAGGTTCTATACAGAATCATATAAAACACACTCTCCATCAATCTGAAGACTCCTTTCACCATGCAAAGAACCATTTAATCATGTAAATGGTTCTCTGAGTGTTCATAGTTCTAAACAGAACCGCCAGGGGAATTACAAGAGAAATTAGCACTAACTAATAGCATCATTAGCAATGCAGCTAACTTCCATTCACCTAATATTATAGGCATGGTTTGCTCTCTTACTCTCCCTCTCTCTCTTTTTCTGTTGACCCTCAGCCAGTAGATTAGTGTCTGAAATAAACCCAATGACCCTAGAAGTGATTTGTGCTGGACGCTTAGCTAGAGCCCTTTTACAGTGACCCAATCTCCCCACCCCCACCCGGCGTGGATCAGATGGGGAGGGATTTACATCCAAGCCAATCCTCTGACTTAACCACAGGAAGTGACACTGGCCTTGATGCTGTACTGACAAGTTGAGGGTCACAACTGGTGCCTTCTTTTGTTGTAAAAGACTGTGAGAGAAGGAAAATTGGATGTGTTGATGTCACTATTTGTATTGTCCATGTTCAATTTAATAAAATCTTGTACCCTTATAATGATTATAGTTGCTAATATGCATTTGTGACATAATATTATAATATATGTGAAATGTTAATGCTGGTTCCGTGCCATTGATATTGGCATCATGTTTACTTGCTTAAAAACAAAGCAGTAAAGCTCATAGAACTGAGCTGAACTGAGCAGAGAGAGTTAGGGAGAGAGACGTATTTTCCCATAATCCCTCAGATTATAGAGGAGATTGGGCAAAGCTGTGCCGCAAAGAGTGGATAGAAATGTTAACTAGGGTCAAAAACCCATATGAGGAATTTAATATGGGGCCCAAAGCATAGATTTGTGCAGGAATATGCCAAACCCAAAGATGCCTCGGTTCCAGTCTCCCTGAGTTTTTGCCCACAAATGAAAGTTAACAGTAAAAATGGAAGAGTAAAGCTTATCACAACTGAAGTGCTTCACTGTAGTACTTCAACTTAGTAGTTTTCAAAGCTTTGCTGTGTAATTGTGCTTTGGTGACCCCTCTGGTGGAAATGTGTAGTTGCACTCAACGTTCTAACATGGGTTGTGCTTCTGGCCCCTTACCCCTAAGCGGATGAATCTGGCGACTGCAAATGCGATTGAAATAGTATGCAGAGAGTGCTTAGTCAAAACTTGAAGTTGTACTGACTCCACACACCCCGTCTCGTCTCCAGGCTTTTTATTTTATTGTTCTGTTTTAAAACATTCGTTTATGAAAAGGTACAAATACGAACTTTTCACCTGGTACAACTTATTTAAGGTGTACAATTGGACCTTAAAACCACCTTTGAGGGAACATTTACATTGTTTGTATCTTGATGAACGAAAAATGTACCTGAACAGAACCTTTATTTCTAACAGTGCAGGTTAGTCTTGGTTTTGTATTTGAGACCCAAACATTGAGCCGGATTCTTTTCGAACCTGTGTGTGATGTTGATATGTAAAAAAGCATCTGACTTCTAAACGATTATTTCAGGCTTTGCATGCACACCATATTTTAGCCTGTTTTTATCTCATGACTCAGTAATTTTATTATTAATTTTACCAAAAAATCTTGCATAGTGCAGCTATGGCATGCGGCCGTCCCTTGGGCCCCGATGACGGCCACGAGAGCTGGCAAGAAGCAACTCCAGGTGAAGACGAACCCCGAATCAAAGCCCAAGGGGATGAGCGCATTTCATATCAGCTTTAAAGAAAAAATATCAGATTCGTCTCAGTATCAGACGATACCTAAGGTTTTAAAATCTATTAGTTGGAGACCAATTAACATTTCCACATTTGTGTAGTAATGTTAACCTTTCTCCAACCACTGTTATTTGTTTTTAGCTACATTAATGCTTTTGGGGTAATATACTGAAGGGTTCAACCATTTGCCTTCTTTGGAAGCTATTTCTTGCCTCTGTACCCCCTCATTATGAAGTATGGACTTGTGTAAAGCTAGTGTAACAGTGTTTGTTGCAGAAAGTGCTAAACAAATACAATGAATTAAGCAGTATAAAAAACACAAATATTTGGAGAGTACTCAAGGCCAAGAGAACCACTGGATTGGAGGCTATACTGGTTGATACCCCATGCCTGGTTGATTGTTTTGCAGTGATTAAGACTGGGGAGAGTGGCCTGACGGTGTTCCGACTCCTCACAAAGGACAACCGTTGGAAATGGGTGCAAGCCAACGCTAGACTCGTGTACAAGAATGGCAAGCCTGACTATATCATCGCTACACAGAGGCCACTCGGGTAAGTCTGCGTACTCAAGTGAAGAATGAACTGTTCTTCACATGGGATCTCTCGTCAAGGCTGTAGTTATTGCTGATTTTGTTTGACTTTCCGGTCTTATGGCCAATGACGGAAAGTGTATTAGTAGTTTTATTCCTGACTTCTGATTTTTTATTATGACAATTCTGTTTGTTATATGGCATGGTCTAATAAAATCAGTCAATCAATCAGTGGCAATTTAGCATGCTAGCTTTGTAGGATCTGGTTTATCATGCTATATTTTGTGTCTCTCGTAATGCAAATCTCTTCCCACCTCCAGAGAGGAAGAAGGAGGCGAGCATCTGAGGAAACGCTCCATGCACCTCCCTTTCACCTTTGCCACAGGGGAGGCCTTGCTGTACGAGACCAGTTACCCTATTCCTGGCTTCCCTAACAACATGCTAACCAAAGGCAAGAGTGGCAGGGCCAAGAAGGGAAAGGGGGACAAAGGCTTCAAAGATTCGCTGGACCCAAGTTCCCTGCTGGGGGCAATGATGAGGCAGGACGAGTCTGTGTACGTCTGCCAACCTGCAGTAGAGCCCAAACTACCATACCACAGCAGCCTGTTTGGTGAGCTTGGACAAACTAGTGCTTTTTCTGCAACTGGAGAAAGGTGGGACTGTGTGCCAGACACCATAACTGGAGGCTCCAAGCCAGATCTGTCGAGTTTTGACCCCCTGCTTTCCACACTGGACTCTCTATCCTTGGAGAGTGAGGAGAACTGCTCCAACAGTGAGTTGTTCAATGCACTGGAGAACCTTGGACTGAACGCTGAGGATCTGGAGCTTCTTCTCCTGGATGAGAGGATGATCCGGGTGGAGATGGAGCCACATTACATCCCATCCCTCAACGACCTCCTCACCAACAACGAGATCCTCTCCTATATCCACGATTCACTGGAGAATCAGACTGTGGATTCTACCTGCGATGGAGACAGTCAAGTTCCTGTTCCTGTACCGGACCTTCTGGACCCTGTTCAAGGTCCATCTGAGCCCTATGTCCCTCCCCCTGGCCCTGTCACTGAGCCTGACCCTACTGCTGTGTCAAGTACGTACCTTCCCTACCACCTGTCTAGGCAAGTGTCCCCTATCCTGCAACTCTCACAGCAGATGCAGCAGCACCTGAGTGCTCAGTCTCTACACAATAAATGTCATACCTGGATACCTGAGCCACAGGGAAGCAAAACCAACGTGGACAGGCTACCTCAGAACAGCTCTGGACTAGTTAATGCAGTTACTGGGGTCCACAATGGTCACTGGATCCCTCAACACACACAGGCAAGTCTGGACGATCCCACTGAGGTCAATAGCAAGTTGCCGGAAACAAATAAACAGCAACAGAGTTGGCAGGATGGCCAGCTTCAGTCCCAGTGTCCCTACAAACAAAAACCTTCTCATGAAAGTGACCCTCACAATGGGGTCTACAGTGATGCCCAATGGCAAGGATACAACTTCATAAACCAGGTGGACCCCTCAGCCAGTGGATCTTGTGCAGGGAATTCCCATGTGGATTACAATATCGCCACTGGGTCAGGGATGGAATTTACAATGAATAGTAACTCAGTAGGAGACATATGCCAGTTTCAGGGTGTTGTCGCAACATCCTCATCCTTTCAGCAGGTTTATCAGAAGCAGCAACAGCCAAAGGCCCCACCCACATTTTTCTCCTATACCAATCAGAACTCCTCACTGGAGCATATCCTAGTTTTGCCCCCACCTCAGGAACTCCCATCATTGGATGCCTATGAAATATTTGACTCAGCCCCACCACATGACACCATCCACAGCAAGGTAAGAACTGTTCTACCCTACAGCTACCTCCTATCACGTTCCCCAAAAGAAGCTCCACGGTGGACAGTAACCAAGGGGGCTTAGTGAAGGGTCAGTTGCTTGAAAGCTGAACAAAGTAGTCCTGATTTATTTAGTCTTACAATAATCCTGTGGTTGGTGGGACGAAACAAGTTGGCTTGATTTGGACCACAGTGATTACAAGTAAATGTTTCTTTGAGTGTTTTTTTTCTATGTTTTAATTCATAATACTGGATTAATGTAGCCTGAGATTATTTCTACAGTTCATTTTAGGGCACCAAATTAATAAAGCCTGGGGTTATACTACTATAGTATGGGATTCATATAATCTGGTTTTATTTCTACAGTTTGTACCATAGTACAGGATTAGTATAACCTGGGCTATTTCTATGGTTCACCTGTAGCACAGGATTAATATAACCTGGGTTAATTCTATGGTTCATTTTGTAGCACAGGATTAATATAACCTGGGTTATTTCTATGATTCACTTTGTAGCCCAGGATTAATATAACCTGAGATTATTTCTATGGTTCATACTATAGTATGGAATGAATATAACCATGGCTACTTCTATTGTTTACTTTGTGGCACAAGATTAATATAACCTGATGTTATTTCTATGGTTCATACTAGAGTATGAGATTAATATAATCTGGGTTATTTCCATGGTTCACTTTGTAGCACAGGATTAATATAACCTGGGTTATTTGTATGGTTCACTTTGTAGCACAGGATTAATATAACCTGGGCTTGTTTTTATAGTTTGTACTATAGTATGGGATTATTATAACCTGGGTTATTTCAATGTGTTACTTTGCAACACAGGATTAATATAACCTGGGTTATTTCTATGGTTCACACTGTAGCATGGGATTAATATAACCTGGGTTATTTCTATGATTCACTTTGTAGCATAGGATTAATATAACCTGGTGTTATTTCTACGGTTCATAGTATAGTACGAGATAATATACTCTGGGTTATTTCAATTAATATAACCTGAGATTATTTCTACAATTAGTTTATAGAATGGGATTAAAATTATTTAAGGTTGTTCATGCAGTTTGCTTTATAGCATGGGATTAATATAACCTGGGATTATTTCTATTGTTTGTTTTATGGCATTGGATTAAAATAACCTGGGGTTATTTATGCAGTTTGCTTTATAGCACAGGATTAAGATAACCTGGGGTTATTTCTGTAGTTCGCTGTATAGTATAGAATTAAAATAACCTGGAATTTTTTCAATGGTTTAATTTTATAGTTTTGGATTAATATAACCTGGGGCTATTTCTTTGATTTGCTTTATATGACGTAAAAACCACTGGAATCTTCCATAAAAACGACCAACATGGTGGATTAAAATCTGAGAAGCACATCCGCTCCTCTCCTTGGAACAGATATCCCGTCCGAACAGCACTTAACACACATTTTCTCTTTCACCTGGGATAGAGAACAGAGGATGGTAGCTAGTGGCTTAGCGGGACTTTACGTGGAATCGTATAATTAGGTCACTACAGGGTAATGTACTGACAGAGATCAGTGCCATTAGCATCGGAAGCTAATTGCGGGTTCTCTTAGAATAGCTGGTTCCTGGAATATTTCTAAAGAGATGAGAGCTTCTAAGGATAGTTCTGTGAAAGTGCTTAAAATAGAAACGTAATCATGCAATTCCTACAACTCCAAACAAAACACGGCTCTCTGTCTTGTCAGCTCTTTTCCTCTCTCTCTCTGCGCGGCTAATCCCATCCTGTGTTCCGGGTGAATTTGTGGCTGTGTTGCTGTGATGGTTTGCTGTAATATTCAGAGTCAGTCTGTTTGTTTTGACTGCCAGTTAGAGAGCAGTGCAGTGCTTTTGCCATATCATGGTTTGGTTTGGAGCTAAGTAGAGATAGCTGGGCCCACTGCAGTACTTCCCGCCACAGCAGGGGGCTTTTTGTCTCTTGTCTTGTCCGGTGGTCCGCATGCTATTTTTCCAACAGGCACGATTTTGGCCTTTTCCTTCTCTGGCAGGGAGGGCTTTTAGCCTACAGTTAGAGTCCAGATGATACATTTGTTGGCTGACAATATCGGCCAATGTTGACGGCCCATGGATTTATCAATGTCAGTGAAAATATACGTCATAATACAAGGATCATTTTTGGGTTGGTTGCAACATTGACAGGAATCCCCATATGAGGCACTCACCATGTGTTTTTAAATGGTTAACTCCTCTTGCATGGTTTATTATGCTTATACGGACTGAATTTTGCATCAAATGTGTTACTATAGAGTTGATTTCACATTTTTTTTCACCTGTTTAAGTCATTGAGCTCATAGTTTTGGACTGTAGCTTAAAATGTGGCACTACTCGTTCTTTTGTGTCTTTTTCAACTTACATTTTTTTCAACAAAAAAAAAAATATCGTCACATATCGTTAAAATTTCTTGGAGTATCGTGATATTGTATTTTTGCCATATTGTCTATCCCTATTGGAAGCACAGACTTCTTAGTACATTCAAAAAAATCTCTTCGTGGGGCGCTACGTACGTAGTTTCATACAACAAGAAAGAGTTTGAAGCCATCAAAAAATACTAAAATACTAACGTATTTGAATAGTCCACTATCATTCCCTATAGATTATCTACAGATGTTCAAATTGATCAATTATCTGTTAAAACTTTCTAAACAGTGGTGGGGTTAGGGCTTGGAGCAGGGTGAGGGTTGGGTTTAGGTTTTGGGTTGAGGTTAAGGTTAGGGTTAGGATTAGAGCAGGTTTAGGGTTAAAGAAAATTATGGTCAGTTTAATAGATATTCAGTTGAATGTAGCTTGAAAATTAAGTATCTACAAAGCATGTAAAGTGGACTATCCATTGTTAATTAGAGGATTACAACGTGGTGACAAGAAACTTTCTTGCAGCTATAAAACATGCCTGCGCTAACGTAGCTAACTTCTCTGAAACGTTTGGACTGTGCTGTAAGCCGTTAGCTAAAATAGATATATATGCTGTTGGTATTTAAAATAAGGATTGTGTCAAATTTACATTCTAATAAACCGTCAAATGTGTTGTTTGGAGCTCTTCTAGTAGCAGGTAGCGTTCTTCTGCAGTAGCTTAGCATGCTAAAGCTTGATTCTAGCTCACTGAAGCTTCTCTGACACAAATTTAGAGGATAAAGACAAATCTGAGTGTTTTTGTGTGTGGAGCTGATAGATTAAGCTAATTTTGCTTGAATATCCATGTTAGCACCGGAGGCTAACATTAGCGAGAATCCTAAACCAACAATTCCGGTTCACTGATGCTGATTTAAGGCAAATTTAGAGGATAAAGACTCAAATCTGAACAAGCAAACCTGTATATTTGTGTGTTGAGCTGTTAGCTTTAAGCTACTTTTGCTCCCTTGTTAGCACCAGAAGTTAGCGTTAGCTTAGCGAGAATGCCTACACAGCATTACACACAACCACACAGGTTCATTATGGCTCATCTAAGCTTCACTGATACAAATCTAGAGAATAAAGACTTAAATCTGAGCAGGTAAATCTGTGTTTTTGTGTGTGGAGCTGTTAGCTTAAGCGTTAATTTAGATCCTCGTAGCACCAGTGGCTTACGTTAGCTTAGCGAGAAGGCTAAACCACCAGCAATAGTGGCTTACAATTTGCATAATTATATATATTCATAGAGCTTCACATTTCTTAAAGTTGAGATTTGATGCTACAAGGCCATTTTTAGTAGTTTTTTGGACATAACAATAATATATAAACATATTTAACAATGTATTATTCAACATTGATTATGTTTTTGTGTTTTGAATGATGGTTTAAAGGGTATGTTAACTATTTGACAGCAATGAAGGCTAAAGTGGTTTGAACACTATCATGGTTAAAATAATAAAAACATGTTAAATCTATACAAGCCTAATGTTTATAATAAGAATAACATGCTATAACACAAACAACCTTTTTCAATGAAGTGAACTGATGAAAATTAGAAAATTAAGAGGTCATTAACAACAATTCTAGGTCAAAATAGTCGTCAAGACGTGACCATCATATTTCACATAATTTTTTTCTTTTTTTTCAACATGAACTGAATATTTGGTCATATGTATAAAATAACTGAACAAAAATTAATACATATTAGTAACACCAAAATGCAACCAAAGCAGAGTAGAGGTCAACAGCCACATATTGACCGCTGAGATGGAGAGATGTGGCTAGTTGGTGCTGGGACGCAGGGCTAGAGCTTCTTGTATAAATGAAAACTGTTACACAGTTTGGAGAATTGTGTGCTAATCTGTGCTGCAGTGGAATGCAGAGGGACACTATGGGCCTCCAGTGTAGTGGGAGACTATGGGGCTCTAACTGGACAGTGTGGGCCTCTGTCTGCTCTCATTAGGCTTAACAAGTCCTTCTCACCACATCTAGGACACCATGCTGGAGTCCTGACTGTTTGGGTTGTAGTTATTGTTGTTGTTACAGCTGCACGATTGTAGATACTACGGTTGCGACTGCGAGACGCCTTGCGTTGTATATCACAATGTTGGATAACATGAATACCATGATTAATCTAAACATTCAGAAACACTATGGAAACTGTAATCTCATTTGCATATAGCAGCCTGGAGATATCAGTATGACAAAGGTCAGTATTGCCATAGAGCGCTACCCAGAGCTGGGAGGGTTACTTTACGAGTGTATTCTTGTATAAATCACTGATCTCCTGTTTAAACGTCTGTAACCTAATCCAAAAGAATGTTATATTGAAGTAACTCAATATGATATTTTTAATTTTTTGATACTTTTGGATTACCTGTCTTTCTTAAAGCTGATAAAATAAAGTCAAAACAAATTTTAACCATTTTTAAACACGGCAAACAAGAAAACTGCACTGTATTATGAAACGCAATTTCCCCTTTTTTCATGGGGGTTTTGGGAAATGAACTCCATATGTGATGAAGCAGAGGACAAACTTTTTAACATTTGTTACAAGTTTCGGTCTGTTTG